GGCGAGATCCTTTTAAGAGATGTTTGCATTGCGACCGCACAGGGGGGGCCACGCTGAATCTCAGGACCCAGTTGACCCCGACGAACCACCACCACGACGACGGCAACAACAACAACAACAACAACTACTACTACTACTACTACTCCTACTGCTACTGTTACTGCTACTGCTACCGCCACCGCTACTGCTACTGCTACTGCTACTAGTACTGCTACTACTGCTACTGCTGCTGCTGCCGCCACTACTACTGCTACTACTACTAGTGCTACTACCACTACTACCACTACCACTACCACTACCACTACCACTACCACTACCACTACCACTACCACACCTCCATCACACAAAGTCAATCGGGTCAACTGGATCAGCTGCAACTGGGTTCAACCGGGTCAACTCGTCACCAGGACACCCTGCTCAACTGGGTCAACTGGGTCAACCGGACAGCACATTTACCGGCCCCCCGTGCGCCGACGCACTCGATCTTTGTTGCCAAGGCTTGTCAGGGTGTGGGACGTTGCAATTCTTTCTATGACTTTCCCAGAGCTCCTAGTTGTTCACTAGATCAAGGACTCAAGGACAGATGACCTGGCAAGCCAATATTGTTTTGGTTTGACCTGCAACTGTGATGTGGTTGGGGATGGTTGGGGTGCTTCTGAAATTCTATGGGTGCCTTTGGTTTGCATAGTGGCTAGAGCAGTTGAACTTCGCTTGTACCACCAAGGCCCACTTGGATGGCACCGAGAAGCAACTGCGAAGGCAACTGAAACAGCTGAACCGACAGCGAGCCCGTCGCGACAGTGAGACAGAATCTTGACTGCGTTTGGTGCAACGGGCCTGGATGGAGAGCAATCGAGGTAGGGAGCGGCATGTATCATGTTTGGTGCGATTGGCTCCCCAACTGACACAGATGGACAGCTCAGGGTAGGCAGGGCAGGTTGCCCTTCCGCTCCTTAGGAGCTTGCCACGCCAGCTTGCCAAATCCTCAGGTTGGAAGATATGAGTTTTGCCATATCCCGTATCAAAAGATCATATACGTGAGTACGTGCCACCCCACCGAAGATATCTATCAAAGCGCAAGCAGGACCCCACGCGAAAGCTAGAGGGATACATACATACATACATACATACATACATACATACATACATACATA